GAAATTTTTTAGTCGAGTTTTTCAATCAATAATTTATTCTGAAACCAAGTAGATTATTTTAGTATATAATAAACATATAAAAATATATCAAAAGAAAAGATAGATAATACATAACTGAAAGAACATGAATCCAACATTGGTTTTAAATGACAATCAATATTACATTATTACAAATAGCATTACGATACAAATAATAACTTACGTGTGTTGTTTTTCAATATAATAATAATAATATTATAGATAATGCGTTATAATATAACTTTCAATGTATTAAGTAACTTATTTCTATTGTTAGTGTCGTTTTTTCCACAGATTTTGAAAAGCTTTTTATCGTGTTACGCCAAAGAAGTGTTTTATTATTAACAAGTAGGAGATCAGTCTTGCAGGGTTTGCGACATGCCGACGGCCTCACGATATTTGCTTTTACTGTATTACTATTAGCGGGTTGGGTGCGATAATAGTGCGTTGGAATCTGATGATACTGATTATGCAGGAGTCTCGGGGACCTTGATTGGAACACCTCCAAGTAATTTTAGCTGCCGGAAATGCGTCAAAGTATTTATAAATTTTTTTTAAAGTTTTGTGAAATGTATTGAAATTTGTAAACAATCCACCATTATCTACTTTTCTATTGGTTATAAGAGATGTGTCATTCTCGTTTTCTGTTGGTTATAAGTGATGTGGCATTCTCGGTAAATTAATCGGATCGATTATTTTCTCATTTGTTAATTTTATAGTTGAACCTAATTTAATCATTACTTGTCAAATGTACATACATTACATTAACTTCATGTTTCAATTAGTGTATGGTTCCGAAAATTTTTAAATTATTCAAAAAGTACCCAAAACCGAATCAGAGCACCCCACTATCCACGTGGTCTTGTCTGCCTTACCCCTAGAGTGTATATAAATAATCGGAGGCGCGGAGGAAGAGCCTGTGCTTTGGTACGCAAGGGTGGAGGGGCTGCTTTCCCGTAGCGCCGGAGCTGTCCAAAAAAACAAATATTATTTAGATCGGTTAGGTTAGGTTAGTATATGAATATTTGGTCGCCGAAGGCGACCAAGAAGCCGAGTTGCCGAGGGCTGAATAAACAATTATTATTTAGATAAATAGGTGAGCTTTTAAAATTTTTTTTTTGTTTCCGGCGCGCAAAATTTGTGGGGGGTAATTACTACACCCCCCCCTCCTCACCACCCCCGCAACCCCAAATTTGGTCGCATCGTTTTCGAATCGTTACCGTCCAATCTTTCTTGATGTAACATATTAATTTCTAGTCTAAATCCGAAAGTTGTATGTAAATGTACTTTATTCTTGTCTGACACAGCTGTTTAATGTTGATATGTTCAGCGACTTTGCTCATTTCATATTCGGGCGGAGTTTTAATCGTTTTATAGCCCACCTGTGCATTTTAGGTATATGCATTAGCATACTAAATTATTAGTACGCTGTTCACTGAATGGTTATAGCTTTATAAGTTTTAGAGGAGTAGAGAAAATTGGACACCACCAAATTTCAACAAAACAATTCAATGTAACAAAATCTTCTTTGTATTTCGTTTTCGCCACTACTCATTGTTTTTTATAGAGAAGATATAATATATTTACCCTATATATTTTTTTTTAGCTTTTTCCTTACTAGGGTTTCCTTGAAGAGATGTAGCGAAGTTTCATGTAAACGTCGACTTTTTGGGTGTAAAGGTCAGTACTCACATACGGTATTACTCGAAGTCGAGTAAAATTCAACGTGTGGACCGCAAAACTCACAGCTCGAAGGCTCGTACCAAGCCGGCTCGATGGAATTCAATGAAAGTAATTTCCTTTGAACCTACTCGAAATGATCCGTAAATCTTGACTCGAACGTGTGTACGTGACTGCGAGTGGCGCGAGGCGAACTGGTACTGTTTATCGTGATTGAAACACGTGTTTTTAAGAGAAATGGATTTGCGAGTTTATTCCAAAAGCGCTATAGAAGACTTTATTAACACATATAGACAGTGTGAGTGTTCATGGAATGTCAAGTCCAAAGATTACTCCCACAAAAATAAGAGAAATGAATGTTATGATAAATTTCTTTCCATTTTCTTTGATTTTCTTATAAAGCACTGTGAGATTTGCTAAATACAGCCACCGTCTCCTTTGTTGCACAGACATCCTTTGGCTCGAACGGTTCGGTGAATACTGAACGGCGCGCCTCACTAGTCACTCGATAGATCAATGCTCAATGTGTGGACGAAAGCCCATGCCATGGGTTTTACTCGACAGTTTAGCTCGATCGAGTAATACCGTATGTGAGTACTGACCTTAAGGCAAGCCGGTTTCTCACGATGCTTTCCTTCGCAGTTCGAGCGAATGTTAAATGCGCATATAGAAAAGTCCATTATGCACCAATGGACTTAGCTAGTTCCTAGCCGGGAACCGAACCTACGACCTCAGGGATGAGAGTCGCACGCCGAAGCCACTAAGCCAACACTGCTCTAACTCAATTAACTTCAATTTAATTTGTAGATTCTTTTTATAAATGGATATATACACAATAATGATTGTTTAAAATTCTAAGTCGAGTCTTCAACAATCTAAAAGGATATAAAGTTAAGACGAGGTAAATTATATTTTGTACTGAAAACATTATGCAAGATTCTCGACGTCGTTATAAAACTTATTTTCATAATCTCCTTATTCTGACTTACGTAAATTTGTCAAACTTATTTTTAAATATTTACTGAGTTAGTGATGATTGAGAAAAGTTATACCAAGTCAAAAATAGAGCGTTAGATTGGCTAATTAAATTTAGACTATGATTAAAGGAAAATTCATTAAATTCATCTTTGATTTGTCTGCATTCATCGTAATATCCAACTTGATATAAATTTACTTTCTTTATTTTGAACTCATATTATACAAAGAAAAAATGTGTTTTTGTTAGATAAACTCATCTACTACGTATGTGCCGTTGGCACGAATAATACAAAAGATATAGTTTATATATAATAGAAATAAAAACACTTCAGAATTCAAAGTATTAACATACCTCGTTGGAATAAAGGTTAGCCCATTTACTAAATAAAGAATGAAATATATATAAATAGCAGTGGCGTGGAGCGATTGACCAGCCTAGGTTGTTTAGCCGCTAGCTTTTCCATCATGATTTGCAATTGCTGACAATAGACATCAGCCGTAATAGTCTGGCCAGATTTGAGAAAACTGCAATGAACAATACCGGCACTAGTCCACCAAACGCTTACAAGTAACTTTTTTGGGGTTAGTTTTCGCTTGGGGCAGGATTTGGCTGGCTGGCCAGGATCCAACCATTGCGCTGAGCGCTTCCGATTATCGTAAAGAATCCATTTTTCATCACAGGTAATGATTCGGTTTAAAATACCTTCATTATTGTGCCGGTTCACTGTTCAGTAATGTAACGCAGCAGTCGATGCGCGTTTGCCGGTTTGCTTCAGTCAATTCGTGAGGTACCCATCTTTCAAGCTTTTTAATGTTCCCAATTTGCTTCAAGTGAATTAAAATAGTTTTATCACTAACACCGCAGCCTGCAGCTAACTCGGACGTGGTTTGCGATGGATCCGCTTCCACAATAGCCTTCAATACTTCATTATCAACTTGGGTCTCAGGCCGTCCACGGGGCTTGTTCTGCAGGTCGAAATTTCCAGAACGAAAACGTTGGAACCAAAAACGAACTGTGTTTTCTTTTGCAACATAACCGCCATACACATCATTCACCCTTCGAGTCGTTTCCGCAGCACTAGTGCCACGGCGGAACTCGTACTCGTAAATAATGCGATACTTTAAGTTTTCCATTTTGTAAAATGAGTGACGCAAACAGAAAAAAACAGAAGAAAAAAACAAATGAATGACGGTCATCGAAGCACAAATACAGGAGTAAATAGCTGTACAAATTTGAATTTGGAATTCCTTACCAAAGAGGAGAACATCGTGATTAAAGTGGCCAGTACGAAATATAAATAATAATATAATACGCTAATTTCATATGTAAGGACCTAATATTAATCTATGGTATATAAAGCTGGTAATTTTATATACCATAGATTAATAAAATGCGATATCAATAATGTTGTTTGTAGAAGTTTTGCTAAAAGGGAAGTTGTGTTCACATAACTATAATTGCCTCAATTCATTATCGATAGCTATTCGGTCCACAAATTCGAGTAAATAGCACCGAATAAGACATTGTAAATAAATAATTAACTGTGCAGTCAATGCCCTGACGTAGATTTATTTAATAGTGTATTCGGGTTTATATTTACCTACTTGTAATCGACGCATTATAATTTATAAGCCTTGATTTATCTGCCATGAGTTAGACGTTATACAAAAACGAGCGTATTCGTAAAATATTGTTATGACTTTTTCGCAGAGCGCGTTACCGGTTACCGTAGTCTACCCACAATATTGTCTAATAGAAAAATATGTATTAGATTCCCGACGGGCACTCAACAATGCTATTCGCCTTGCATGCAATGCATTGCATTCGGTTACATGTGAAGACTGTATGATGTATTACTTTCCAAGCTCTCTTGGGAGTCCGCAAGCAGAGATAAAACTACACTTCGATATCTCATGAAAACTCTTTTAATCAAACAAACAGTAACCACTATGTACACAGTACACTATGCAAAGTAAAACAATACGTAATGTGTTTCCAGATGCATCAAGTGCTATTGATCGGCAAGATAATCATTAATTGTCTAAATACTGTTCTCAAAGGTACGAAAAACGGGATTCTCCGCAAAATAAAAAAAGTCCTTCAAATACCTTGTCACTCAAATAATACAGCCATAAGATTGGCTATCTACCATTATCTAAGTTATTAGATCGTAACAAATACAAAAGAAACAATGTGGCAATTTTAATGCTTATTTATTAATCAATATAATTCAATTTATATCACATATGGTTAAAACTATATAATTGAAATATAACTTTATTCTCACTCTATAATTTATTTATTTAATATTGTATTTCTAAAATTAAATTTTACTTCTGACACTAGATCTCAATTGATCTAACCCAATCGCTACGGCGTCCATTGCAGTGCCCGGAGCGCACATAACACCATATCCCCCATGACCATAGCAGTGAACTACTTTCAACCCACTAACCACCTCTGATTCCACCCTCACAGGTACTCTATGAGGCCTCAACCCGACCCTTTGCCCCACAATCTCCACATTCTTTAACGCCGGTAACAGCTCAACACATCTCTCCATTATAGCTGCAGCATCATACTTACAAACTTGGGTGTTATAGCTATCATATTGCCTCACACCACCAAGGGTTGCTATACCATCCTGTCCCGGAATTATATACGCATCGTAATCGCCGTAAAAAGCAGTCTTCAACCATGGAGCCTTTACCTTAAAGACTTGCCCACGAATTGGAACCAAATCGTCGTCTTTGCACAAATATTTCGCTCCCATCCCCGTGCAATTGAATACTAAATCATACTTAGGTAGTGATGAAAAGCTTTCTACCTTTCCTGTAATGATTTTACCGCCTTTAGCCTCAAATGATTTCTGCATCCAGGGTAAGTAGCGATCGCAACCAGTTTTTACAGTTGTGAAATAGGATCCATACCTCCAACCTTCGCTTACGATCTTCAACTCGTCCTTGTCGACTGCCCGGTAAATTGGCACTATGTCCTCAATCAATCTATTTCTTGTAACGTGATAGTTTTCTTTGGAGAATATATAGCAACCGACAGATAAAACACCAGCTTCTTCAGCCTCCCGAGTTTTGAGTATGTCCTGCCAGAAGTACCAAGACTTATCGATCCAACGTTTCGTGATCTCTTGCGTGGGGCCCCGAAAGCTAAGGCCAGGTCGGAAGATCCCTGCAGCAATGTCACTGACTGTGTTCTCTCGAAATTCGTCCGAAATAATTGTAATATCGGCATTTCTAAGTTCATCTTGTAATATTTTGGAAACTGTCAAACCGATAACTCCAGCGCCGAGGATGGCAATTTTTGGCGCGTTTTTGTCCATTTTATTGAATCTGAAAAATACTAAAAAAGGCTCTAAGTGAGTACTAAAGCTTTCTGTCGTAAAATTATTTCTGAAATCAGAATACAAAATATGCCCTAAGGGTTATGACTTTATTAACAGTTTCACGGAGTTAAATATATATTTTATTTCTATTATAATGCAAAGTTCGTGTACAATAACACTTTAATTATAACCTCAATATTGGAATGCTTTAAATAGATCGTCACATAGGTAGATAATGTAATAATTATTCTGTTTTATTTCATTTACGATATGCATATTGCTCTCGTATTACTTCTGCTTATCATAAGAACGCGAGATAAATTTAAAAGGGTAATGATATTTACATTATTGCTAAGGATATAGTTTAGATGGTAACCATAATTATTAGTTATCCAGTCATATTAGCCAGTTCTTTTGTTTATACCCAATGTGTATAAGTTTTTACTATGATAAGATTACAACAAGCACCCCTGATAATATGCTGATATTAAGTTTTCATATATATTGGCAATGTAAGGTCGTTAGTTTATCAGTTATATGTATTATATACATATGTATATAAAACTATATTTAGATTTTGTCTGTCTGTAGAAATTAATATCCAAAACTATTTAACGAGTTTCGCGGGTACATTTAAGCTTTGTTTCTAACAAACCTGATGTCTCGAAAAAGTTACTTCATTGAACTATGCTCATGCATTCGCCTGTTAAAAATTACATAGCAAAATGTTCCTAGACGGGCCTGTATCTATATGATGAAATAAACATGTTGGAATTGGTTAATACTTTCCACCATTGGTTAATTGGTATAAGTATCACACCTAATACGCGGACAGAATAGATCCCACAAGGTGCAGAGTAAAACCAATTTCACGTGAATCACTTCGGGCTCCCGATGGGTGAACCCCATCTAATAATTATATTATGTAAAGTTTGTGTATCGTTCTAACAACGTAATTAATACTAACCAAACTAATAACGCACGATTTTCAAAGAAAAAGAAACTTAAACATTACGATACCTACTTTTTTCAGTTGTATTTATTAGGTGTTATTGAAACTGTAGATCGTAGATCTAAATGTCAAGGTTAACTATATTTTTATCAAGTATGTACAAATAAACGACGTAAAACTTAATTTGAATTCCTATTTACAGATTCACGACCACCACGAAAAAACTACAACCAGCTTTCTTCAAATGAGAAACTCGATAACAGACAAAGTGAAGATATTCATATCGAGGAAGCTGAGATAGATTCAGATGCAAGTAGTACTGACCTGGATGAGCGAGACACGCGTGGAGTCTGCCCGCCCTGTGCGCATGACCGATTCAACAATAACATACGGCAAACGCACGACGACTTCAGTGACGACACAGACTACGGTACGTGATAGATTTCGTCAATAACAATAATATTAAACTAGACCATAATATTATGTTTTAACTAAATACTGCAGTGTAGAGTGACATTGTCTCTAGAATAATAATTATTGCCGACTGCCAATTTGACAGAAAAGTCAATTGTCAGTTGATGGCTGATTCATTCGTCAACTCTTCGTATTTCGATTTTCGCGTATGTTTGGGAATGTGTATATAAACATTTAATAAATAATCGCAAATATCCGGAATTATTTTGTGTCAATTATTTTAAAATTAAGAAAAAATGGCCACATTGAAATCGGATTTAGACGATTATTTACTTCAAAATGAAAGCCGTCGAAGTTATAAATTCAATTTACCCTTTTCGACGTCGAACTTTTTTACCAGAAGTAATGAGGAAACTCCTACCAGCACGAGCACTACAGCCTCTTGGTTTGAAGAAGTACAGAAGGAATATTTCACACTGGTAAGTGCCATTAAGTATTATATCCTTAATACTTTGTTTACATATACTAATGAGGTCAGCCACAAGTAATGTTTTGATAAAATACATTATTGTTTCAGACTCGAACACAGCGGTTTATGGGCTTCGGTATCTGTTTATTCTTTGGCATCCTATGTTTCATATTGTCATTTTTGTATATACCTATTCTTCTACTACAAGCAAGGAAGTTTGCATTGCTGTTTACTCTGGGAAGTCTCTTTTTTATTTTTAGGTAAGTTTGATCTTAGTACTATAATGCAACAAAACCCAATGACTCATAAACCAGTTTACTACATTAATGCAATGCTTTAACAAGGTTATGAAAAAAAAAAATATTTAGTTTCAAAACCATTTATTTCCTATAACAAACCTGCATTAAACAGGTTTGTATTTCTTTTATTTAAAGTTTACATACCTCTTCATCCATTAAATTTTAACATGCACTGCATTGTTAATGTAATAGAATTATAAAAGCAAGAAATAGACACTTATTATATTTTAAACAGTTTCAGTTTTCTCTGGGGGCCTTGGTCACATCTCAAATCTCTATTTTCAAAGGAGAAAGCACTAACAACATGTCTGTATGGCTCAACTCTAATTGCCACTTTGTATTGTGCATTGCACCTACAAAGTACACCATTGACAGTCATCTGTGCCGTGGGTCAAGTACTGGCTTTGCTTTGGATGATGATGGGGTCAATACCGGGTGGCGCATCTGGAGCAAGATTGTTTGGAAGCGTGTTTAAATCATCCGTGTCCAACACACTACCCATATAACACAGATTTTATTGTTTTCTACGTGGAATAGCTAATATGTTGGAACTCCAATTGCCTATTAGATTTTCCATACTATTTAATGCTGCTAATTCACATAAGAATGGATGTGGTTAATGTGACCTCTTTCATAGGTACTTACCTTACTGAATATAAATACCTTGACTGAATTTATGAAATTTTCAATGAATCCTATATACTGTAAACAAACTGTTTTATAATGATTTATCATGTTCTTTACACAATTACTATTTATTAATTGAATATATTAGTCTGTGGCTTGTGTGATAATAAAAATTGGTGCTGATGGCATTATAGGATACTTTAATTTAACTTTTAATCTTTATTTTAATGTAAAAAGCGCAATTATTGACTTAGACTTAAATATTTAATCTTTTGTAATATGTAATAATTTAGTACTATTATTACATTTGTATCTATTATGCTCAGTTTAAAATATTTATAAAACATATCATTATAATGGTAATATTTTATTTCTTTCCAATTTAAATGCAGAATTATACTTGTTTTTTCTCATTTTAAGTAATATTATAATTAAAATGTACATAAATATTGGTGATATTCATTAAAATTCCCCAACAGATAAATCTAAGCAATATGTAAAACAGCTGATTATATAAAGTATAATAAACTATGATTAATTTTCAGTACTGGTAAAATATTTTATTTTAAACCAGAAACAAAATATCATGCTTTTAATTTTAAATGTTTTCAATCATTCTTTAGGAATGGAACTTAAAAAATATATTTTATTATCTAATCATCATAAAATACATCAACTGCCTGAATTGCATGTTTCTAATACTTGGGTTTGATGTTGATGAATTGGTAAGGGCTATGTTTAAATTATTCTGTAACAGTTAATTCAGTATATTAAAGATAAGTGCAAATTGCTGTACTGTAAGTAAAGTTTATACACTGCAGTTTTTTTTTTTCAAATTGTATTAAAGTAAGTATTTTTTATTCACTAACTTCACTCGAACATATTGGATTTTCAATGAGACGTGTTTGTTTCAGACGAGGCATTGACTTGCAATGTTTGCGACAGATCGTTTCCCTCACGTCGTCTGCTAAGCGACCATCAACAGAAGAAGAGGCACTTTGGGTAATTGTACTTTAATATAGCTATATTTAAAAAAAAGCAAAGGCTGCCTTCGTGGCATTTTTGCATGTGTATGAATACGTTCAGATTCGACAAAATAATAACTACGATAAAAACAAAACATGTAGAATTGCATACAGACTATAGAATGCATCTACTAAGGGTTTACCTAGTACATCTCGCTCCTTGATCAAAATCGGTTGATCAGTGCTGGCGTTTTCAACATTAACGTGATAAAATGCATCGTTAATTTGAAGTATTGATAAATTGCAGATGCAGCTCGTGCGATAGTCTATTTCCATCTCTGATGGCACTCGAGCACCATAAAGAAGAGTTCCAGCACTGGAGTGACGACTCTTGCTGCGACGCGTCACGACACTCTTCTGACAGCGAGTCGGACGACTGTCGAGATGATGGTCGACTCATATAATGCCGCCACCTCATTATTGCCGGGGACAGACCGCAACACTTGGGCACTTTTGTTTAATAACTGCTAGTATGGAATACTAAGATATGAGAAAATATAGTGCCAACTTTTCAGTGGTACCAAAATGCTAATTCCAACTGATATTAAAAATACTATAAAATTATGAGTGCAATGAAATATCCAACCAGCAGTCTCACTTAAATTATAGATTGTACTCTAGACTACTCAAGTGTATCAAATTGGAATAAAAAGATGTACAGTACGACAAGGCCTATTGTCCATAGCATTAAAAATATCAATAATAGAAATATGTACTAAATGTTTTATGAAATATAAAGTGAAGATTTTACATATCAATGTTTTGCTGTTGCTTTCTGTGAAGTTATTCCCGGCAATAATGCATCTTAACGCGTTTACGACTGATGATCTGTAAATATTATAATAGGAGCTTGTGAACGTTTTGAATATTGTGTAAAAACCTGTTCATACAATTCGTTCATGACCTCAAAGTACTGTATACTGTTTTTAGATAGGTATTAGACGCCACATTATTTTACCATATAGTCAGGCCCAGCCCTTATCAAGATAAGCGTAAAATAAATAATACTCAAATCATTTTAAATGAATTTATAAAGTAGGCGCTGTTCACATTTTTCAAGGTGAGAGCAGTTTGTAGGAGTAGATACGTAATGACCGCATGGTATTGTTAAAATGCTACCAATATTAACTAGAAAGGTATAAATTTTAAACAGGGCATAAATACATGTCAGAGAACATAGGTTTCAAATATTTTTGTATAGAGATATTTCTAACTAGATTAAGATTCACCTACATAAACTTTTAATTAGAATATCAAATTTGGTAAATGTTGTAAATGTGATGCCTTCTCTACATAGGAATTTTATCCATTTTCGTCTTACGTAATAAGTTTTATTTAAAAAATCATAGAGAATGGCATAATGATGCAATATTGTAAATATCAATAGTACATTATGATATATTAAGGATGTATCTAACAGTATTATAGTTGTAGTGAATTATGTAACTTTGTACAAATAAACTGACCAGTGACATCTTTTTTATATTTTATCAATTTCCTTGGCAAGCTGGTAGTCACAGTCGTATTTTCAGGGCTCCTACAGTAGACGTGAAAGGTAGAAATAAAACCAAAGTTGAAAATATGTACAGAAATGTTATATTTATAGGAGTCGAGTCGCGCGTAGCCTTGCTTCGGCTCGGCGCGCTCGGCTCAGTATCGTCCGGGGGAGCGACGTACACATTGTTTAATTTTTCATATAATCGAGTAATCACGAATACAAATCACGAATCTCTTACGAAAGCATAATACGAGTGAGTCTAGTGGCGTGGCGACGCGCTGCGCCCAGCCTAGTGAGTCCAGTCAGTAGAGCCGCCTTCGGCTGAGTCCGTCCGCGTGCACCGTAAACATAGTACGTACGTACTGGACAGGGCGTCACAAACAAGAGTGGCATGCGACACTCGCTTCAATAACATATCAACTCAATGATATCATACAAATAAAAATAAAATCGTACCACACGACGTGACAGCGTCTCGGACGCGATACCGGGACGAGATAGAGGCCTATATCTAGTTAGTCAGAGTCGAAGAAACGCTATAACACACGCAAACCTAAACCGTCGATAGCGTCGCCGCTCGGCGAGCGCAGGGTCGGCCGAGCGAAGAAACTTATAATGAAATGACCTATGACGAGTGATCCGCTTCGCCGCAGTCGGTGTCAGAATCGAAATGTAAGTTGACGAGTCGGGGTCACGGCCGGCCGAAGCGAGCGGTGGGGCCTCGTCCCGTATAGCGACCGACGGCGACCGAGGGCCCTACGCTGTGCCGTTCACGAGCGGCTCGCCTTTGGCTTTGGCCTCGCGCTTGCCTTTGACCGCGCCCGCTCGCCCGCCCTCGCCGCCGCCGCCGCTCACACCGTTCTTCCACCCGCCGCCTGAAAACATTCATGCTTACATTATTGCGTGCTTACAATAATTTACAGTCGTAGGTTAGATTTATTTAAGTTATAATCTAAAAATCTTACATAGAACGTAAACAATAAATTATTTACTAAAAGTACTAAGACACTAAAAACACGCTATTAAAAACCCTATATATTAATTAAAAATTAGAGTTAGACACGATCAAAAGCTCATATTTAATCTTAATGTGTAAAAAAGTTAATTTACTAAAAAATTCACACACTTCCACTATATAAGCCACATATAGAGTTAAAATTAAAAATACACGATGTGTTACATTAAATACCACTTAGTAGTTAAATAGGTTCGTGATTCTCAAGTTACAGATGCATGCATAGTTATCAATGTATGCCTGTGTGTATATGTTCCATACAATACGTCATAGCGCAGGTATATTTTAATAGACGAAATAGTGCGTGCAGATAAGTGTAAATGTATGCGTGCGTATACCTCCTTGTTTGCGTCGCCTTCTCCTGGAAGTAGCGGGTTGCTCTTCGGTGTTCTGCGTCCCCTCCGAAGACACGGATTCTGCACACGTCACCACTACACTACACTACACTACGGCATACTCAATACCAAAACATGCCCTCTTAAACTATTTAAAAAAATTCTATACTAATTAATAAAAATAAAACTATAATATAAAAATAAATATATCAAATAATTGTAAAAGATGCTTATACCGAAATATCCAATCAAAACATAGGGCATACCCAAAAAATAAATTAGTATTAGCAGTTTCAATTAAAAATAATTCATGCAAACCATGCCAAATTAAATAATTTTTAAATATTAAATAAAATTATCATTAACACGTCTGTTATTTAAGAATTTAAAAAAATTTCAAAAGACAGTCTACTTTACATCCATGTCATCAAAATAAACAAAAAAAATTTACTGTACTATATCTAGCAGATGTAATATTTTCAAATATTAGTATACAGAAATTGGAGTTTAGGCTATAAAAAAGTTAATTTCTAAGAAAAAAGCAAAAACACGCAAGCAACATGCACTAAAGGTGGGATTCAGAGTCCAGACCTACTACCTACTCTGAATCTGGGTAGGTCTTTCACAACCGTTAATTCAAACTAAACTGACGTTACGTGTTCAAATCGTTTAAGCAGTGTTTACGTACCTCGATCGGCGCTGGAAACGTCTTGGCTGTCGAGAGGTGAGCTGTCTTCATCAGTCTGCCGACGGCCGGGTTCCCTTACTTCGCGACCCTCACGCCGTCTGCCGCTCTACATAAACAACATTCAAATTCACATTCATTCATTAAAGTACAGACGCAAGCAAAACAAAAACCTCATAAATTATATAGAATGATTTAGACATTATTTTTTTATTATCTTTAGATTTGTTGAATTTTAAGACATTTTCAGTTGTATCCATCATGTGTTTAGCAGCATGTTGCTACTTCTTTTGTAGAAGAAATATAGTTCAATACTAACATTTTCCCTCTGGTCACGCGGAGTGTCTCTTGCATCTCGTGGCGGTCTAGGATGGGCACGTCCGTTCTCTAGTGGGACGCGCCTCTCTTCGCCGCGACGCTCACTCGACCTGATTAAACAATTTTGATTTAAATTACTACAATCACATTTCTGAGTCTACATTTAAGTAGTAAGAGGTACTTTTAGCTTAACTAATTATCCTCTTAAAGTGTTTAATAAAGGTAGGTAGGTAAGAGGTTTATCCTTTTTTACTAAAATGTAATCAACGTTTCATGAATGCCTTTAAAGTCAAATCTAGACAATGGCTTTAAAGAAAAATTTTAATTAAAAAATACCTGTTAATTCGCGGCGGCCTCGTCCGCCCGCGGTAAGAGCCTTCGCCGCGTTCAGGTCGATCATCTCCTAGTTCCGGTGTCGTGCGTCTGCCGCCTGCAAAATATAATGCTACTACTAAACCTTGTAACAATTATGAAAGCTTTGCATTTTTTGAACTACAAACAATTTTATTCTAATCTTCTACGGTTACTCTTAAGTTATAAACCACAAACAAAATACGTAAAAATATCTTAATATTAAAGAAATTCAACAGTAGTCGATTTTCACCATGAAACCATGTATCCATCTATTATTGTATTCAACATAATAAAGTTACTAAAACTGAAGTTCCCCACTGGTTAGACGTTATTTACGTACCAGGTGGATATCTCTGAGTAGAGGGCGGAGGCCTCATGCGTCGTGCTCTTTGGGCGGGGGCTCCACGCGGAGGCGGGTACGACACCGAGCTGCCTCCCATTACCACGCGCAGCTGCTGGTCTATCTCCTGCTTCTCTGCACGGAGCTGCTCTACTTCCTGAAACACACATTTACTAGTCAGATCTGACTTTCCTTTCTTTATTACGGTACTATAGCTATTTTATCCATGTTAGTTAAATAAAGTCTTAAATGCGAATTTGACTCCTTTTTTAAAATACAGTGTATACTCTTTATGACGTCATTCGTTGTAACGAAAACTTCTCTATAACGTAAACATGAGTTAAATTTGTTTGGTTTAACGTACAACCCATATATTAATTTACCCTTTATAACGCAACAGCCGTTCTCTATTACGAAGTAATATTTTTATATTTAGACATCAACATACTTAAGTGTAATTTCTAAGAAAGACACCTGAGGTCATAAACAGCCGTCTCGCCTTTGTTATTGTTAATTGCATTAACACATGTGCCATTATTCTTAGATTACATTGCCTGTAGGAAATTTTGATCGAAGTACAACAAATATTGGCATAGCAAAATACGTCAAGCAAAGTTAACAGAATATATGTATTTAGAATAATTTACCTATTGTTAGTAATAAAATTAGAAATTATTGTGATTGGTTAATTTTTTTTTCTCTTCTTTCCTTATAACGAACACTGTCTACATCGAAAAAATACTCGGTCCCTTGAAATTGCATTTACACACTGCATTTCTATATTGTCAATTACCTTGAGATGTGCCACGTGGTACTCCACTAGCACCTTGGCGTCGGAGATGTTCTCCCTCGTGCCCACGAACACAAACGGAACCATGCCTTCCTCACGGGGCCCAACCGGTTGCGGCTCATTGTCGCCTTCTACTTTCACCTGAACATGTCACCTCAATATTATATTAGCTTTTCGCGACTATCATATGTACATAAAATATTGTCGTCACAAGTTAACTGGGTTACTGACCTGACCATACATGCAAAGCAGGTCATTTCGCTAGCTTAGCAATAATGATTTGCCGAGAACACAGTTTAATTGTTTCAAGTAAAAATACACAAACAAAATTTTTTAATAATCTATTAAATCTTTGTGTATTTCTTTAAAATCTTAATTTAAAGAGAGGCATTTCTTACTATAAAACGTTTTTTTTTTTCAATTTATTACATGAATGAAAACTAAAAGTTATGTTAAAATCACATTTAGCAAAAAACATATTTTAATAATACCTAAAAATAACCTTACAAAAAAATATAATAGAATTAAAGCTTATAAAGAAAAATATTACAAATTAAAAATTTTTTAGAATGCAGACATTAAACAAATTCTTGTGTTACTTCTTTTTTTGTTATACTTAAGTTCTATCATCTTTTATAATTTTTAATATTTATTGATCTTACCCTGACCACACCAGTCTTGTCCACTATCTCTTGTATAACTTTTCCGTTTTTACCAATCACCTTCCCCACTAGCTGCCTTGGCACCTTCACCATCTCCTCGGCGTACTCAAGTAGCGCGCGAGCAGTACGGACAGCTTCGGCAGACTGACAAACAAACACTTCATATTCATAACCATATTTTGCCGGTCCTTTGATTGTAAAGTAATCGGCGCTACAACCCTTGTTGGTATTTAGGAATTAATTTTTAACTGATAAGCCTTCTTCTTTATTCTTCGTGCTTGACACTCGCCGATTTTTGAGCGTAAGTTTTGCCAGATTTCTTTAGATATTTGGCATCACCGTACAAGCGAGTGACAATTGCGACTTAGAAGAATCCATTGCGGAACTGTCGTCATTCGAAGACACGACCTCGGGGTTGAGAGTCGCACGCTCAAGCCACTAAGTCTAAACACTGCTTTTGTTTCATTTCTAGTGGTATAGGCTAATTAAGAATTGAGTGGATCTCACCTCTCCACAAAGCTTGAAGGTGCAAGTGAGCTCTTCCAGCTCGATATTGGTGATCCCCGCAACTTTCCGGGCCTGCTGAATGTTAGCACCATGCGTGCCAATCGCCAGCCCCATTAGATCTTCGCGGACACTAAACTCGTCCGTGTACCTGAAACAATACCCAAAATAAATAAGCTCGGTCCAATCCAATAACTATGAGTATGATATTGACTAACAGAAGGCATAAACATCAATCAACATAATCTTGATACCCGACAATATTTATTAATTCAATGCGTTACTGTTCCTTACCCATTAATTACCATTACAATATTACCTTTTTATTTTTAAATATTTTATATGCACATTAGGAAATACTATAACAGTTGGAAAATCATTTGGAAAACACAAAAATTTTATGACTCTACATAAGTTTTAATTAATATATTAATCTTTAAATAGAGCCCTAGGTTAGATTTATAATTTATTAGGTAATATTAGTATTTTATAGAATAATAACGTAATACTAACCCGCCTTGATTGTGTATTTTAGTTGACTCCAGCTGCCTGGCTGCTTCTTCAGTCTTTTTCAACAGTAATAGCTTTTGTGTTAGATTCCTGAAATAATATTAATATTTGCTTATAATTATATTTAGTATGGAATAATATTTAAAATATTAATATAATAATAATATTTCTGTGACTGACATAATAAAAACTTCTTTATAATGTAAACTTTATATGAAATTTTACTATCTAAGACATAAAACATTAAAATAAATCTCAATTGATAAATCTGTAGGAAATACATACTACCTATCCGGGCAATATCTCTGAACCCTCGGCCCTGTATTTTCCATTTACTGTAAGCACTAAGTTTGCATAAGCAGTGAGTCGGCTGCTTTAACAACAAACAAGACGCTAAATGTTAACTGAGCAAATAGCGTCTTAGGGAGTGCTATAATTACATGTTAATAGTATATGTATATATACTACAACATATTATTTGGTTTTAAAAACCAAAAGTAACCATACCAGTATTTGTAGTGTAAATTAATTTATTTAGAAAGCTACTCATCCTGTTTTACTATGAATTTATTTATAACGAGAAAAAAATACAAATATAAAATGTCGATCCAGAAATTCAAGCAAGCTATGTAATGAATGAGGAAGTAGGTGTATGAGTTATTTACCTGAAATGCATCTCATGGAGCATCTGCGCGCGCTTCTGCGAGGTGTCACACCGAGAGATAACAGCGAGCACGGCGCGCTCGGGCACGTACCAGACAAGTGCCGCGCCGATCGCCTTCTGAAACTCCTTGTGCGCATTCTCCACTTTCGCGCTGTGCATATCGTGTAGGCTGAAGATTTAAAACTAGTGTTAAATAATACGTTCTAGTATCTGTGAAAGGTTTGTTATTAAAAACACAGTATAAAAGTTTCCTAAAGTTTCATAATATTAATTTAGAAACGAATGCAGTGTAGATCGAAAGCATACGTTCATTTTGAATGCTAATATACTATACTTCACTTTCTAGAATTTAATATTTCTTAATGAAAGTATCAGTTTATTATATAATAAATCAATACATATAAATAATAGACTTATCATTGGTACTTTTACAGTACATACTAATATTACAATATTACTAACTAAATGTTTGCTTCAATCAGGGCCTCTGTAACTTCAAATAGAGATACCGACAGGGATCGCGATTTGTAAAATGGTTTTTTACGCGCGATACCAAGGTTGCAAAATCATCGCTACGAGCTTGCATATAAATGCGTTAGGGTTGATATCACTGTCGCCATTGGAAGTTTCAGAGTAAGGGCCTAGGTCTTAAAATAATGAAATCTTAAGATATACATACTAGTCTTTAAGGTCTTCAGGCACGGGTATCTCGAACTTGTGAAAGGTGTTCTTATCAATGGGTGTCTTGGTTTGTTTCACCCGCAGTCTGTCTCTTGGCACAATCTCTGTATAGCAGTTGTCCCACTCGAGGTATTCTATGACCAGGAATTCACCCCTCATCATCTGTAAATAAAATTATTTTATTAATTTTGAATTAAAAATAACATTAAAAACTTTCTTAGAACTAACAAATACAAGACTACTACTTGATGTGACATTTCAGTAATAGACTATATTTGAATTTCTTGCCAATTCTTCTCGCCTGCTCTACTTGGAAAGTGGTAGTAATATATTATATAAATTACTTTTTTTTATATTGACGTACTTATGCACATTGACACCAATATGATTAAATAAAATTTAATTTGATTTAAATGCTTTCATGTAATTTCTTCAAAAATCATTTGAGTATACAAAATTTAATAGTCAATGTGTTTATTAATAACTGACAATGGTACTAATGCTGTTGAACCCAAATTAGAGAAATTCAATGAACTGTATAATCCATTTTGAACTGTTGAACATTCCATGTAGTTGCAAGAATAATTATTTATACAATTACTATAATATATATTACGTAAGCAGATTTACTGCAATTTACTACCCTCCCTCCGACCTTTTCAGAAAAAGTAAGCAAAGCTAAAGTACTAGAACGGCCACTAAATACAAAATTGAAGAAAAAAAATGCCAGATTAAGCTGTAAAATATTTTAATAAAATATTTATCGTGTAATGTAGTAATTGTTGGTACAGACTTTGTAAAGTCTTGACAACAGATTAGCGCTGTACTTAAACATACTAATTTAAATAGCATGTAAAATTAAATTGTGTTATTACTAAAATACTTTGGAGTAGAGTAAACAAAGAACAGTTGAACACTTACACATTAAGTGAAAGTATTGGGTCATCGGAAAAATACATGGCTAGAACGATGTAGGTACATTGCGTGATTAGTCATTAAATCGTAAAAAGAGTAAGTTGGATCTAAAGCATAGTCATAATTATCCGACCAGCCAAAATAGGCTAGTATGTTTAAAAATGTTAGAGATTTGTACGGTACCTACTTACGAAGAATTTATAGGTACTTACAACAATAATAATACATTACGAGCATTATTAGGCTTGTAATGGAGAAAAGTGAGAGTCAGGCTACGAGGATTATTTTTTTATTTATTAGTATTATTAAATATAATACTCTATGTATTATATGAAATAACCAGAAACCTCTTAGACACCCTTGTGAAGAACCTAGTGATGTGTGTAGTAAGGGAACCCTTTCGCCCTAGTAAGAGTTATTTGCACGATCGTTCTAAAGGGAATTAAGTGCGATATGTACCGCCATTTAGAAAATTAAGCGTTTCATCTTATTTATTTAAGAAAGCTCCGTGCTGCAATATAAATAATATATAGGATACAACAAAGACAAATATTAAAGCATGACTCAAAATCAAGATTTAAATAAAAAATGGGGTAACTTAAACTCTTAATTTCGCAAAAGGGGGACTTCTAAATCTATGTAGCATAATCTCCTTCTATAAACTCGATAAAAGACAGGAAATGTAAGAGAAACGTGAATTATACCGAAAACACATGGTATTTAGATAAATATTATATTATACGTGAATAAAAGAGAACGTAACTCAAAACGCCGCGTGTGAATTTGGGCCCGAAATGGGAATAATAATTGTAAATTTTGGTCAGATTTCAGTTACACTTTTTTAATGAAAATTTTCGTGAACGTGTATCAAATTTAACATATATGACCAACCTAATTCGCCAGTTCACCGGCAAAAATAATAGGATATATTGTTCATATACAAATAAAAATAAAATAAATCTTTATGAAAGTTTCACTAAATTTAATAGATATTATTTTTAAGCTGCTTAAAATCAGTTTAAGTCAGCGTGCGTAGAACGCGTAATACATTTTTCATGTATAACACGCGAGAATCTTAATCTAGTGGGCGGTTAAAAACGCGTATTTAAAGATTTCAGCGTGTCCTAGTTCTCACTCAAGGTTGCCGCAGAATGTTGCGGCATGCAGTGATCGAAATTGTAACTTATTGGTCACCTCGTTAGACAAAACAACATGGCATAACCACTAAACAATCTTTTATGGTGGAAGTCTCCACATTTCAATAATATATTTTAAACAGCCGGCCCTTCTCGGCTTCGCATGGGTGGACATTTATTTTTTAAACATTTTTTGTAGATATTGATAATATGTGGATTTTTTTTTGTTTTATCATCAATAGTTTTCGTAGCGCCTGCGATGAGATATTTCATAGGTATTTTTTTTACACCTTGGGTAACACTATTGTACTTAACCTACATACAAATATTTCATATTTATAATATTAGTAGGTTAGAAAACATTAGATTTAAAAAAAATGTAAATAACAGAATTACACTTATATTATTGGAGGGGTTTCAAATATATATTTTATATTATGTCAATATATTCGTAATTATTTATTAATCTGTGCATTCAACATTCACATAATATTGAGAAAAGGAATTAATAATTCACGTTTGTACTACTATTTTTAGAACTATGACGAAATATTGATTTACTTATAAAAATCTGTATATAGGCAATTATTAATGTAGTCATTTTTACATTGTTCAATCTACCGCATTAACAGCTTACTAGGTAAAGCACAGGCATCCTGCATCGCTCTTGGATTGGTGGTCTCCGGAAAAGATAACGATTTTTATTTTGGAGGCACTAAAGTCTGATCACCTAATTGCCTATCATAAAATATATGAAACATACAGAAGACTATGGTGAACTTTAAAAATAATATGCTTTATCTCTTTAGATTAGACAAAAGAAAAGATTCTGATGAAATAAGGGAAATGTAAGACCATTAATTATCGCCAGGCACCCAAAAGAAAACAAGCAAAAATGAATGAATAAACTTATTTCTATTGCCATTACATTTTTACATGCCGCTATACCCTTTGGATTACTGATAAAGATGCATTTTACTCTAAACTAGACCCGATTATTACAAATATATAAAAAAAAGCTTTAAGCTTACAAATGATAATACAATTTAATTGATTTTTTTAGGATTTGCTTAGCTAAAAATATATAATATTAATAAAATCAGATGTGATATCTTGAATACAGGAAATCGTAATCATAAGTTTGCTTGATTAAGCTAAAATGTAACTATAATTTATTTATTTCATTAACATTATTTTCTACATACAATACAATAAATATATGTTACACTCATCTGCTAAGATTTTAAGACATAACCTTATTTTTTTTTTATAATGATATGCATTTAGCTCTAGCACTAAACATGAAATCGTTGCTCTTAGGTATAGATAGTTCAAACAAAGATCACTAGTTACTACATTTGTCACTTTATACTATATGGAATTATAAAATTGTATTTTTTTTATTCTATAACTCAAGTTGTTCTGTTTATGGGTGAATTATTCAGAATCAATAATGCCGAGAATATTTCAAGGTCATCAAATACTCTTAGAAAATTGTCTAACAGGAATTAAGATAAATTTAAGTTAATTGCTTATATTACTAAAGGATTGGGTAACAACAGTTTTAATATAAATAAGAAATATTGCTCTGCCAATTAAAAACTTTGGTATTAGTAATTTCCAATATCTTATCAATTAAAATATATCAATTGGGAAACTCTTAATAACTAAGTTACTGATTGTAAAACATTAAAATCTTCTAAAATTGATGGTATAGCCATTATGGTATTATTATATACTTTTCATTAGTTTTAAGCAGAATATACACAAAAAAAATTTTTAGGTGTATTTAAGATTTTTCAAAGTTTTAACTACTATATTATGTGCCAATAAATAAAGTTTTGTGTGCTTATTTATGTAATTTTGAATAACCTGCAGATGATAAAACCAAAACATTTATACACACACATTATTTAGAAAAACACATTTCTTCTAAGACATTTTTATGTTGGGTTGTCACAAAAACTTCCAGTTTAAAATGTAATCTAAGAATCGTGAAACAAGAGAACATAATTTATACTTATTCTACTGAGATTGGGTCAGACTTATTTAACATAACAAAAAATAAATACATATTAAGAGGACTAAGACAATCTAACCGAAACCCATACATAATTTTTATAAATATCTACCTTGATATTTGCAGTCCACCACCCACATGCTTCCTTTTCATTTGATCTCGCTAAAACTTCCACCTCTTGGTTTTCCACAAATTCTATCTGTTTGCTTGTATCTTTAGGTGGCAAGAAGACTTGCGAAAATGGGAACTTTGATTCTGGCTGCCAGCTGCAACATTGAAACAATTTAAATAGCGGCGAGCGTATTATAACCAAATATTGGAGAAACGCTATAAAGAACATTGATAATGTTAACTTACTCATTTTCAAAGGCTACGAGAACCTCGTTGTCGAGCACGTCGGTGACAATGGCCTAAAATAAAAAAGAATTATAAAACATTGATGCTTTCATACAGATGGTAGTCCACAAGAAACAAGATGTTTCATTGTTCCAGCAGGCGAAATATGCCTCTAATATAATTTTGCGTTAAAAGCTCGATGACGGTTTTACTATTCCTGTTAAAAATATTATAGGTACCACGAATAAAACGCATAGAAAATTCACGCCCTGTCAGGCGGACATGGCGTCCATTCCAGCCGCGATCATCTTCCCGGACAAAATATTTTTGTAAGTATATGACTAAAGATTAAAACCATAGCCTAAGAAATCTAAATTTGATTAACAGGAATTAAATGTACGTCTTTTCACTTAAACTATGGCGTACTTCACGATTTACAAACCTTATAATAAGCACCATTTTCACCGTACACCTCGACCGACAAATCCTCCATTTTGATTTGAAAGCGTATTTGGCGTTTTCAGTACAAGAATGAAGCACCAAATGATTTTATGGACCAATCATAATTTAGAACAACGGCATAGACAAGTCGGTTTGTTTTTCTGTTTATTACTGGCAATTTATAAGTAAAACACCGCGAAATTTAAAATGTTCATTTATCATTAATTGGTTTTATGTTAAAATGCCTAAAATTATATCAAAATCTGGGAGTCATTGCGTGTGGCAAGGAAAGTCAATGTTGTGCCCGAGTGCACAAATAGTTTCGAACGAACAAATTGTATTTTTAAATAGACGTGAAAATTTTAACATAAAAAAAATAAGAAAAAATTAACAACCTACAAATGAAAATTATAACTGGAGTTACGAGATTTGTTATCGGGACTTCCCACCTCTCATCAAAATCCAATACAGTTTTGACGTATGGAAGTCAGACTTAGCGCTAATTCTCGTTTCTGAATGTTACCCTAAGTCTCATAGATGTATTTAAAGCTTATAATTATTACCATCTTCTTCTTATTCTTGCAGGATTGACTGATTTCTCAATGTGTACATTTTTAGCCTTGGAATAAGTTGATTTAAGCTTTATTTTATAAATTTTTAGCTATAGTCGAAACACCCTATCTTCGCCTACCTTAACCAAAATAAAATGTCAATTTGTAAATGACAAAATAGTTGCCATCGTGTGTTTTCAAATGTTCGTTCTACAAAATCGAGCCTGTGGTATGGGGTTTTCTATATAGAGGTCAGTAAACCATAGGGATTTTACCCTTTTTTAATCATTTTTCTTCATTCTTATTAAAATTACATAATAATATATCAAGTGTTTGAGAATATTAAGAACGCTACACAGAAGAACGTACAATGTACATACTTATTTTTTTTAAATTATTTTGATAAGTTTCATAATATCTTTAACTAATATATTTTTGTTTATTTGACAACTATGTTTGACAAATTGACTTATGCCTAATGCCATACATCTTCTAAACAATAATTCTTCGTACAATATTATTCTGTTTTCGTTTTCTTTTCATGAAAATAAAATATTATAATAATTCGTTTTATATTTCATTTTATATGAAAATAATCTTTCTTAAACGTTAAAATTTATAAATTATTTTGTTTATTATTTTATCATATTAAATTAATAGTAAGTAAACTATTGCCAACACGATAACGAATCCTACATTGTAAGTTACTTTAATTATATTGATAAGAATTGTAACGTTTTATGCTCATACATTCAGTGAAAGCGCATTTATCAAATTAATGGATAATAGGTACATAAAGTACTGCTAGAGGAATCTTACAAATTATTTGTAAGACTAAATAATATAACCATAACCATACAAATATCGATGTCCCAGATTTATCTAAATAGATCTACTTATTTTTGTGAATTTGTCAGAATATGGGGTCAAGAAAAGAAAAGATTATATTGGTCACGGGAGGGACTGGTTTAGTCGGACAGGCTATAAAAACTATAGTAGAAGAAGAAAGAAAACTGGGATCTCAGGAAGTTCAAAATGAAACATGGATTTTCTGTGGCTCAAGTACCATTGATCTTAGGTGAGTTTTTAATGTAATCTCCTACCTCTTTGGTATTATTTTCAACTTATTGACCCGAAAAAACTTTTATGTTAGTTACACTCTCTTGAATTAAGTAAAAAAGTTTTTCAAAAAAGGTCCATATATTACAGTATTCTATATAAACGTCATGTTAAAGAAATCAGTCTTGTCAATAGAAAATATTCCTTTTCCACCATCCTTTTTTATTAAATTTGTTAAATAATATTTGATATCAACACATACAATAAATAAAAATATAATACTATAACTCAAATTGGTGATAATCTGCTTTATTGAAGTAATAACTGTTTACAGAAAGAAAGATGAAACAGATGCTTTCTTTGAAAAAGAAAAACCTACACATGTAATCCATTTAGCTGCAATGGTTGGAGGTCTATTTCACAATATGGCTCACAATCTGGATTTTTTTGTAAGTTTGAGATCTATAGTATGTTATGTATTAATATTATGTATCCAAGAATAGCATATACTTTTAGATGCTTTACTAAATGTAAAATACATGGTGATGTTGTTGCATGAATAATCTACCAACACAGATGGCCAACCATACCATAAAAATTAATATTCCGCTTAGATAAAACTTCTTTAAAGACTAGTCTTAAAATTTTTCATATCACAAGAGCTTTATAGCAGTTGTGGTAAGCTAGAGCCATAATGTAAATAAAGTAATAATACTTTTCTACAGCAGTAATATTATGCAATGCACATATTATATAATTGTATTAAAACTTCAAATTTCAGAGAGATAACATGAGTATAAACGACAATGTTCTTCATGCTAGCTTCAAATATAAAGTTAAAAAAGTGGTTTCATGCCTGTCCACATGTATATTCCCTGATAAAATCACATATCCTATTGATGAAACTATGGTGAGTATTAGGCACCATAAAATAAGTTATATATTTGAAAATTCTTTGGTTATGTAAGCAAAGCATTTATTTTTCGGTATTTCCAAATATCAACCTATATATAATTGCACCCAATCGTTGTTTTGCCATGTTTTTTTAGCTTTTTTTGTTTATATAATAAAAATTAGGGGTTGTATGTTAAAACAGGTATTATACTGATAATTTTTTGAAAATTTTCTCTGGTAGTTGCTTCAAGAAAAGTATAAGTAGTTTTTTTATTCTAATATGAAATTCTTATTTGTTAATGTAATTTCGTCTATTCATTCTATTGGGGATCCTATCAATACATTGGGTGAGATAAAAATAATTCCCCAGCCTTACCACAACAGAGCTTCAAAATTATCTGGATTTCCTCAAGGTTCCTGAAAAATAAAGTCGTCAAGTTTTTCAGGTTAAAAAATCAAGTTCTTCAGTTGTAACTATTATTGTTCTATGGGGGTTTGAACCCAGAAATAAAACATTAAATTTCATAGCTATAAGTGTTCCTGTTTGTTTGGTTTAAGATTAGAAATGTTGGTGATTTTTCGTCATAATAAGAATACTGTTGTGCTTGTCTGAAACATTTATTCCTTATAAAAGTTAGTGGAGGAACATATAATATTTATCAATACAATACTCATATAAGTCAATACTCTATTGTTTAGTATTTAAAGCTTAATGTTTAACCATGGGGTTCCTGGGTTTCCCAGCCTGTTTTGGCCCATGTTCTAACATTGACTGTTTACACATAACAATTCAACCTGGCTTTAGTCACTTTACGTGATCTCTTCTAGGAAACTCCACATAGTATAAAAATTTGTAAAATAAAATAAACTTTGAATATTGTTCTTAGGTACATAATGGCCCACCACATACCTCCAATTATGGCTACAGTTATGCTAAAAGGATGATTGATGTTTTGAACAGGTACTTTTTGTTTTGTCATATTAAAAAACATTATCATAGGTTATATAAAAATGCAGAAATAACAACATTAACCAGTTCATTTTAAATTCCATATCTTTATGGTTAATCAATCTTCACAAATATAGGTGATAAGCTAATTCTGGAAGTTTTACAGTTTTGAGTCTAAGGGGAATTCCGAGCCTAGACTTTGCACTAAGTAGGGCCCTTATGTTAAATAACCACAAACCAACTGCCCACTGAAGTATTGCCGAATCAAATTTACTTAGTCGGTCCCAAAGGTCTGGCCTAAATGGGAATTATGGTAAAAACAAAGGGCGGGTCGGGTTGGGGGGGGGGGGGTTTAAACTCCCCGCCCCCCTTTTTAGGGGAAAAAAAAACAAAAAATTTCCCGAACCCCCCCCCCCCCCCCCCCCCCCCCCCCCCCCCCGGGGGGGGGGGCCCCCCCCCCCCCCCCCCCCCCCCCCCCCCTCCCCCCCCCCGGTTTTTTTTTTTTTTTTTTCTTTTCCCCCCCCCCCCCCCTTGGGTTTTCCCCCCCCCCCCCCCCCCCCCCCCCCCCCCCCCCCCCCCGCCCCCGGGGGGGGGGGGGGGGGGGGGGGGGGGGGGCCCCCCCCCCCCCCCCGGGGGGGGGGGGGCCCCCCCCCCCCCCGGGGGGGGGGGGGGGGGGGGGGGGGGGGGGGGGGGGGGGGGGGGCCGGGGGGGGGGGGGGGGGGGGGGGGGGGGGGGGGGGGGGGCCCCCCCCCCCCCCCCCCCCCCCCCCCCCCCCCCCCCCCCCCCCCCCCCCCCCCCCCCCCCCCCCCCCCCCCCCCCCCCCCCCCCCCCCCCCCCCCCCCCCCCCCCCCCCCCCCCCCGCCGGCCGGCCCCCCCCCCCCCCCCCCCCCCCCCCCCCCCCCCCCCCCCCCCCCCCCCCCCCCCCCCCCCCCCCCCCCCCCCCCCCCCCCCCCCCCCCCCCCCCCCCCCCCCCCCCCCCCGCGGGCGCGCGGGGGGGCTCCCCCCCCCCCCCCCCCCCCCCCCCCCCCCCCCCCCCCCCCCCCCCCCCCCCCCCCCCCCCCCCCCCCCCCCCCCCCCCCCCCCCCCCCCCCCCCCCCCCCCCCCCCCCCCCCCCCCCCCCCCCCCCCCCCCCCCCCCCCCCCCCCCCCCCCCCCCCCCCCCCCCCCCCCCCCCCCCCCCCCCCCCCCCCCCCCCCCCCCCCCCCCCCCGCCCCCCCGGGGGGCGGGGGGGGGGGGGGGGGGGGGGCCCCCCCCCCCCCCCCCCCCCCCCCCCCCCCCCCCCCCCCCCCCCCCCCCCCCCCCCCCCCCCCCCCCCCCCCCCCCCCCCCCCCCCCCCCCCCCCCCCCCCCCCCCCCCCCCCCCCCCCCCCCCCCCCCCCCCCCCCCCCCCCCCCCCCCCCCCCCCCCCCCCCCCCCCCCCCCCCCCCCCCTTTTTTTTTTTTTTTTTTTTTTTTTTTTTTTTTTTTTTTTTTTTTTTTTTTTTTTTTTTTTTTTTTTTTTTTTTTTTTTTTTTTTTTTTTTTTTTTTTTTTTTTTTTTTTTTTTTTTTTTTTTTTTTTTTTTTTACTTAGTCCTTCAAGTAAAGAGCGTACCAATTCATAAAATGCGGGCAACGCTCTTGCGAGCCTTTTGGCAGTGTAAGGTCCATGGGTACCACGTTACATATGGTGAGCCTCCATTTGCCCCCTGGTCTATAAAAAATTGAAATACGTTTTTGAGATACTTTCGGTGTTGGTATTGGTATTATACATTAGTTGGTAATTTCTTATCAGGTTTTATATTTTTAAGCAAAAAATTATGCAAGGGAGAATTGCATATACAGTGTAAACTCTATATAACGAGACTCAAGGGACTGTATCTATTTTGATGTTACAAAGAGTTGCCGTTAAATGGAAAGAAAAATCTGTATTTGAAAAAGAAAGTTTATTTCAGACTAGTGTTAGTAATACATAAAAACAATTCGTAGTTGAACGCTATTGCGTTGTCTGTTATTTTTGTACTGTACCAGTAGTTAGGTTGTATTTTTTTACTTATTTAATTCATATCTTGCGATATTGAGGCATCTTCGTGATAAGGCACATGCAAGCATGCGCAATTTGTAAAAAAAGAACGGATTTCTTGGTAAGTTCGGTACGTATGACGAGTACCGACAGTCGAGTTTATTTCTCGCTAGGACAATAAAGCGACAAAACAACGTAAACAGCTCCGCAGTTTTAACTAATTTCGGCAACTTCAAAGGTACTTTTTAGTATTGTTGTCGTTATTGAGGGTGGGTGTTATGCTTTGTAGTGTATCATTGTATGCTAAATCAACCAAACCCGAGTGATGTCGACGCTTTAGAGGATTTGTCGTTAAATAGAAGGACGTTACACGTAGTTTATAGGTACTGTAATTAGGTTCTAGGTTCTAGACATTTTTTTTAAATTTAAAATTTCAGAGGTTACCACGATCAGCATGGCTGTATGTTCACATCAGTGATTCCGTGTAATATATTTGGTCCAAATGACAATTTTTCGCTTACATCAAGTCATGTTATACCCGCGCTTATACGAAGAATGGACGATGCTATGACAAATGGTACGGTACATAAAATAAGCTGTATAACAGATATGACACACATTCAGATTTTGTGGGACAAAAGGTCTCAGCTTGTTGCAAATCCTGGTGCTTATTTTCTGCCAGTCTTGGTTCCACTATACATTAGTGTAAATAACAAACGCTATGCGAAAATATATATCAGTGGCGCTACAACATTTTAGGACTGGGCCTCAGATAGCTGTTTCATGATCTTTTTTTTTCTTAATAGCCGCGTCCACACCGAACGATCCATCGCGATTCGATCGCGCGCGGCACGAGTGCGATCCAAATGTGCAGGCGGTGTGGACGTGTGGACGCATGCATCGCGCGCGGCGGGGAGCGCGCGCTCCTAACCGCATGCGATCCATTTGTTGTAGGTTTTTTTCACGCTCAATGGGGCCTTATTCACTTGCCGCGCGCGGTGTGGACGGTTGTGATTTTGAATCGCGATGTTGAGTGATCCACCGTTATGGATAACCCAATACTGTCTTTTTCGTTGTCAAAATTTTTGTCATAAATATACAAGTAATATGTAGGTTGTTGCTGCTATGGCTATTTTTCGCCGTCGTTGAACATGTGACTCCATAGCCAGACAAAGATCAACTGATTCAGTATGGATCCGCTGGAGCGTGTTGGAACAGCCAGTCAGGATCGCAAAAGATTGCTGTTGGATCGGCCTAGTACGATCAACGCATCGCGATCGCGGGATCGTTCGGTGTGGACGCGGCTAATAGGAAAGTGGGTGATTAGCCTTCTGTGCCAAACAAACGCCGCCGACTTTTTGGGTCTAAAGCATGCCGGTTCTCTCACGATGGTTTTCTTAACGTACGAACGAGTGTTAATTGTGCAAATAGAATCTCTATTGAACGATCTCTGCGTTAAAAGTTATCACTTAAGAGTTAGGTGTAGGTACTAAATAAACAATTTTTATGGTTTCAGGTGACAAAACATTCTCAGTATGGGGAAGCGGGGCTCCATTACGTCAATTTATTTATTCATTGGATATCGCAAAGTTGTTTGTGTGGACTTTGAGACATTACCAAAGTATTGAACCACTCATTTTATCAGGTAAAAAGGAAACGGAGTTCTTGTCAAACATCGTGAAGTATGGTTTCTATTATTTTTGGTATTACAGATAACGTTTTTTTTCTAATCTGTGAAGAGTGTGAAGCCATATAAAAATAAAATAATGCATTACAATAATAATTACATTTCTAAAACTGCAAGAAACATTTTGAAAGAGTTAAATTGTAAGGAGAAAATAATTTCTTGTTAAAAAATATGCGAAATCTTAATTTTAAACGTATTCATTATTTTATTTAACGTAGTAAATTATTTTTAGGTTTTATCTGTGTTATGCGTTACAAATACATTATTCATTATCTGTATTTAATTACACGATTGTCCGATTGGTGGCGCCAGTTTCGCTTGATCACTTAGCAGACTAAGCCCAAGTTTAGACTTTGGGCGTTTCTGATAACCAAAATGAATGTAAGGGATGAATTTTGACACGGGTGTCTCACTTAGCGCTAAAGTTTTTAAGGCTTAAGCCCGTATTTTAGAACGTTATTCGTTAAACCGTTCAATGAGCTGTCAAACCGTTTATTCTTTATGAAGTTTGACAGCTGTCTAAAATATAGACCTTAAATCTTATACAGTTTCACATTTCAGTGGATGAAGTCGACGAAGTTTCTATTAGCAAAGCAGCCGAAGCTATTAAGAAAGCTCACGGTTTTACCGGTGAAATTATATATGATACTAGCAAAGCGGATGGGCAGTTTAAAAAGACTGCGTCTAATAGGAAATTGAGGTCATTGTATCAGGAATTCAGCTTTACCCCATTTGAACAAGCCATTCAGGAGACAGTCACCTGGTTTAAAAATAATAGGGAAAGTGCTAGGTTATAATAAATTATTCATTGGTGTTTTTGTTTTATTTAATACACAACGATAAGTTCCCTAAAGTATTTTCCTTACTAGGGTTAGCGCTTAAGGCTTTAAAGTTAACATTTTAACCTGTAAGTATATGCTATAGCTTTTTTTTGTTGTTTGTATTAATTTATTTATATTTCTTATTCATTATGTAACTTCTTTTATATACAATCAAGTAAACAGTATTTACAATTTTCTTAACCTACAAAGTAATAATAGAAATAATTATGTGGCAGTGTACCTTTAACGCTGGCAGCATTTCCTCGCTGTATTGCGATACTTATTCGTTGAGCCAGGAAAGTGCCAGCTCTGGGGTCACCGGTATGCTATTGTTGTAGATAAATAGCAGCTGAGTTTCACTATCGGACGTCAAGGCAGAATGCGAAATTTCACCCGTATCATCTTGACGTCCGTCGTTCCACAACTGAGCCTTTTTTAAGGCTTCTATTTGTTTTCAAGCACGTGGATAAGTTTCGTACGTGTATGTATGTTTGTCCTGCAATTTCTCGGAGACTAACGCTGGTCATAGACGGACCACATGTTGCAGCCGATACCGACTGCTATACCGGTCGCCGCTCGGCGATCTGCAGTTTCCATACTAAATTCATATCCGCCATACACGGACCGCTTGAGCAGTTCCTGAGCGGTCGGAGCAGTCGCTCTGCGGTCGACGACTTAGGCTGCTCTTAGCTTAGGCTGCTGCCTTGAATTTTGCGGGCAGCGGGGCGGCGGCGGCGCGGGAGCGGCAGGATCTTATGCGTAAAATCAAATGGACCGGTTCTCGAAAACAGCGGCGTGGCAGGGAGCGGGCGATTGCACCGCTCGTTACCCGCCCTCGCGCCGCAGCCGCCGCCGCCCCGCTGCCCGCAAAATTCGAGGCAGCGGCCTTAGAGCTGACGGACCCACCATACACGGACCGCTACAAGCGGTTGCTGCCGACCGCGCGCCACTCCCTCAAATAAAATAAAAAACTAATTCATCAAATGAAACCACGGACATTCTAAAGTAGTTGGAAAAACTTTTTAGTGTCTTCTCAGCTGGGGATACAAAGTATGAAATATTCCATGCTGTTCTCTTGATTGTAGTATTGGACGCACCCACATACTACGGTGTCTTCTACTCCTACGATTGCGTACCTAATAGTATGTACAAGTAGCAGTGTTTCTTCATCGAAATCCATCTTGTAAATGAACTCGCATCAGTATTATTTTCCGGTCGAACACAACTGCTCCAAGCAGTCGTAGTCGACTGCATTATGCGGTCGTGTACGACTTCAACGCGACCGCTCTACAGCAATCGGTCTTGACTGCAACATGCGGTCCGTCTATGGCCAGCTTTAGACACATGGAGATGATTCTGTTTGATTTTAAATCAGATTTGTGGGTGAGATTTGCTTATGTAGTGCGTTTTTTTAGAATGAAACAAGAACTCAAATTACAATTATGTACTTATATAATATACATTTTAATACATGATCTAATTAATCTCGTTATATAAACCAAGTTATTAAATAGCAACTCCTTGTTCGTCATAGGTGACAAATATCTTCTCAATCGCGTTTATGTAGGCGGCTGTTCTCACGTCTATACCCAAATTGTGCGTAGACGCAGCTTGTTTTACGTCCTGCAAAGCAAGAATCGGTCGTAGAAGTAAAGTATTCTAAGACATCAAACCTTATTACGAATAATTAAGCGTTCGAGAAACATTCAACAGATTTATTCGATTGTAATCTAAACGACACTATTCGGTGCTGCAAGAAACTACTAAATTATTCTTTTATAAAGCATTTAATTTTCTTTATAGGAAAGGGGGCAAACAAGCTTACGGGACACCCATGGAGACCCATTTTAGTGTTTATGTTGCCGGAATTAAAGGGAGGAGTATTCTCTCTTATTAAATAATTGGAGGTCTTTCCTCCCAGTGTAATATTCCAACTTACATTGCAAGCGTTGATCATAGAATATTCCAGTCCTGATGTTACAATGTGGTGTTCGCTGGCACCCGACATCAGAGATTGGAACAATGGTGTTGCCTGGATCTTTGCGTCTATATTTGAATTATTAAGGGATTTCTCCACTGAATCTGTTAATTTAATTATAGCTTTAGAATAGCCTATGTGATCACGCAATTTATTAGGTTACGAATTTAAATAGTTTATATGTATTAATGGTATTATATGTCATTGTTCTTATAGGCAAGTGACAAAATTTTTGCCGTACAAAAATCGTCGGCATTTGCATCTAAGACATGGCGGTTTTCTAATTCCTATTACGTATTGGAACGTCCTCATAGAAATAGAAATCACTATACTCTGATTTTTAATTCCGTAGAATTCTGACAGCTATGATTTTTTGACATTTCAGTGATGGCAAACCATTTTGGCCGGGCACATTTTTCAATTTCAATACGAGTCTGAACATATATCCGAGTCTATACATAAATTGTATTGTTAGTTAATGTATCAATTTTATTAAGTGCGGTGCTCCACATTAAAAGTGGTTTAACGCGAGTGGTAATTACGTTCCTTTTCATCACAAACAGTAAAAAACGCATAAGTAAAGATAACAATTTTTTTTAAAAGGTTTACTAAACCTGGAATTGTGGTAGGTAGTGTTGACAGCTAAAGAATAAATTAAAGTAATTAAAGTTAATTCGATGTATTGTTCGTGATATTAAATATTTGTTATTTTTGTATAAGTTCACTTGAGTAAATAAATATTTAGATTTACCTTTTTGTAGGTAAAACATAAAAAAATACGTAGCATTTTTTTTATTGCCCTCAAGTCAAATTTGTCCCTTTTTCGGTGGAGAACATTTTTAGTAACAACACTTATAAAATGTCAGCATTCTACGGAATTAAAAATAAGAGTATAGAAATATTAGATGCCGAAATAAATCACGCCAACGACATTAGGGGTATACAGCCATGCAATGCCTAACTACGAGGTAAACTAAGCTGAATATACGTAGTCTGCCATAACACAGAATATTTTTATGGAAACTAAAAATTGTGTAAACTTTCTTTGGAAAGATAAAACTTCAAATACTGAGATTGGCGGATTGACGAATTTTGTCTAGAGTTGATAACAACATCGGGAAAATTTTGTGGGATTAAATAGCGTGCTCTTATTTCACCATGCCTCCTGCTGATAGAGGACAAATCTTTGTTTTTAATTTATTTTATTATTATTTATTACTTAAGATGTCATGTGGAACATGATGTAATAGTTGCAGCTCCTTACAAACGTTGTGAAACAAAAAATTGGCGATAGTAAAAAGAAAGGCGGAGAGTTTATTGTCAGTTCTTCTCTTCCGTTCTACGCCCTTGATGAGTTCTCAAGAACTGGCAGTAAATGTAAAATTAGAAGCATTTAATGTATATGAATTTCTTTTTTGACGTTCATATGTGTACAGTATGTTACCTATATGAATAAATGATTTTTGACTTTGACTTTTGCTTGAACAACTTATTTAAAGAAAAATTCTCACCTAAAAGCGCAGTATTGGAGTCCCTCCAAAACTTAATACTCAACTTTCCAAAGCTGACGTGGTTGATGTTCTTGAGATACTCGAAGTATGAGACAGTTACGCCTCCTGCATTCGCGAGCAGATCTGGAAGACACAGGATCTTCTTCTCGCGGAGGATGACGTCAGCTGCTGGAGTTGTTGGGCCATTGGCGCCTTCCACTATTATCTGATGTAGTCCAAGAGTTTAAAATCACATATTTCTTAATGAACGTTTTGAGAATATAAGTAATTTTACAGAATAAACGTTTAATCTATACTAATATTATTTATATGTATTATTATGTTATAATAATATCTATCAATGAGTATGACGCAATTATCTTTTATTCAATGTTATTTAATTTTTTGAAGCAGTCATCGTTCAGGTCTACTTTATATATCTTTTTTCTAAATCTTAAATCCTTTTTAATCTTGTTCCTGATCCTATATAAAATCGGTTGCAGCAGCTACTACTACTCCGTCATCCTCTTAAAATTTATTGCCTCTGAGATGTTCCTTTAACCGCGG